GAAAATGTCAGTGTAAAAGTTGAAAAAATAAACAGAAAAAAATACTGAATTATTAAACATATATTGAGTGTAATTAGCTAAATAGTTACTTACATTAAATGACAATTCTACTGAAAAAAGTAAAGTAAGGTATTATTGTTAATTTTTATGTGATTTAATTACAGTTACTTATACTGAACTTGCCATATATATATATATATATATATATATATATATATATATATATATATATATATATATATATATATATATATATATATAACATATCTCTTCAGCTGGTCTAAATACAAAGTAAAAAAAGTACTAATTAGTGACACAGTCAAAATAGTTTAACCAGCTGAGACAAAGTTTCAACATGCTGGAGTCACACTTGTGAACTTTGACCTCAGGCAAACAATTATTAACTCAACACTAAAACACTCTCTCTAGGCATACACAAAAATATGTAAAGTTAGTAGACTTTAAAAACATTAAAAGGAATTAAAAAAACTGGCAGCTTCATTTTGTATCCCCCTGAAGGCCTTTATTTTGGGATAATGATTTGGTTTTTACTTGATCTCATCGGTTGGTTGATGGGAAAGAATACTGACAGCCATAAAGCTCCAGCTCAAGGTGAGAGCAGACAGACAGCCAAGTCTCGTGCCTGGTTACCTACTGATCCACAAAGCTACTTTTAGTGTCTACATGCACCTGCAAAGCCAGTTTAAAACCTTGACATTAGTGGCACAGCGCCAGAGTTAACATTCAAATAGACTAGAGCTGCTCTGTAGAAACAAATGCAGAGCAATGTCTTCATGCAAAACAAAATAAAAAAATGTCCATGCAAAGCAGGAATAAAACAAGCAAAAATTAAACCAGCGTAACAGTGATGGACAAGATACACAAATTAGGCATTTGTGTAAAAGCACAGTGTACAATATTTTGTATTGGAATCTAGTTACGCAATAATAAAAATAAAAAATACTCAAAGTATATCATTCATTTTCTTTTCGCTTAGTCCTTTTAGTAATCTGGGGTCGCCACAGCGGAATGAACCGTCAACTTATCCAGCACATGTTTTACGCAGCGAATGCCCTTCCAGCCGCAACCCATCAATGTGAAACACCCATACATTCTCATTCACACACTCATACACTACGGACAATTTTAGCTTCCTCAATTCACCTATAGCGCATATCTTTGGACTAAGGGGGAAACTGGAGCACCTGGAGGAAACCCACGCAAACACGGGGAGAACATGCAAACTCCACAGAAACCTCAACTGACACAGTCGTTGCTCGAGCCAGCAACCTTCTTGCTGTGAGGTGAAGGTGCTACCCACTGCACCACCGAGATGCCCGACAAAGTATATAGATACTTTAAATATGTACTTGAAGATATTTTAAGTATCTAAAGACAGGGCAGGACACAGTTCCTCTCCTTTATAAAAATAGCCAATATCGTTTCATTTGAGCTCTGCCAGTGTGAGTTATTGAGGGGTGGGACAAGTCAGATACTATAGAGTATTTAAAAGATTGAAAGATTCATTCATTCATTTTCTTTTTGGCTTAGTCCCTTTATTAATCAGGGGTCGCCACAGCGGAATGAACCGCAAACTAATCCAGCATATGTTTTATGCAGTGCATGCCCTTCCAACTGCAACCCATCATCGAGAAGGTCAGAAGATTTGATGAGAAAACTAAGTATGAGAAATCGTTGATACATTTTGGCAGATGTGACAAACTGCAAGTATTGGATGCTTATATCTTCAAATGTTTTGAATTTTGTCACTGTTTTGGAGCACACCACCTATATCTTTATACTACCATCTAAACAACAATATTTTCATTTCACAGGACCTTTTAAATTTACTAGTGAAGTAAAAACACTGTGCACTGTGTTTTATTATATTAAATGACATTCAACCAGCTGATCTGCGTAACTCTGTGTAACTTTAAAGCTATTTTTTAAAGGTGTAGCCAAGTGCTTTAGTTAAAAAAATGTTTTACTTCTTAATATGTCAGATGATCTTTAATAACGCTAATGTACAGGAGTAAGAAAATCCACAGCATTTAAAGGGATAGTTCACCAAAAATGAACATTTACTCTCCAAAAAGTGTCCTTCTTCTCTTGAACACAAAAGAAGATATTTTGATAAATGTTAGAAAACTGTAACCTTTGAATTCAATAGTAAGAAAAACAAATACTATGGAAGACAATGGTTACAGGTTTCAAAGATTTTTCAGATTGCTGTGTTGAACAACAAAAAGAAAGTCAAACAGATTGTTTGAGGCAAAATTCATAGTTAATGGTTTATTAAAAGCAAGAATTGTACCTTAAAATAAACTGTGACAGACAATATTAATAAATGTAATATTTCCTTCAGAGGAAGTTTTTTTTTTTTTCAAAATAAACTCTTATACTGACATGCTTTTTATAACCAAACAGAAGTCTAACTACTTCTGCTCATCATATAAAGCAATTGTGTCTCTTCAGAAGACTTGGATTAAACTGCTAAGTTCATATGGATTTTTTTGTTTCAGGCCAACAGATATTCAATGAAGACTTTCATTTCATTAAAAATATCTTCATTTGCGCTCAAGAATATTTAAATATTAAAAGGGTTAGAATAAATGAACAGAATTTGTATTGTGAGGTGAAAAAGCACTGAATGCATTTTATTACAAATCCAGAGATTTGCAACCAAAGACCTGAGAAAGGGCACACTTGGGGAAAAAAAAACAACAAGCTGGTCATCAGTGGGACTGAAGCTCCAGCCACCATCTGTCTAATCATAGAGCTGTCAATCATAGGAAGAGCTGGAAAAACCAGCCCCTTTCACAGGCTCCACCCTGATAACGCCCATCTGAACTGATGCCACGTGCACGTACGCATCTAAATCCCCTTCTGTCAGTAGAGCTGATGTTTACACTGCAGCGAATAAGACAAACTGCACTTCCTCGCTGTCTAATAAAGGGTGGCTGAGATGAATCGGATCAATGTCAGATTAATGTCCACATTTGTATCCGTGTTGACTCAGATGAAGCTTGGGCCCTGATTACACCAGGTATTAAGATGCATATTCATCAATACAATCACCACGGTAAACATATGTAAATATAGGACTTTTAAGCTTGTCCGTTTTCAACCACTGCCTTTGTTAAAAATAAATGTCAAATTCAACTTGATTTCTTTTTAAATGCGGTCAAATGCATTTAAACTGCCACAGAAGACCACCTCCTTTATGTCCTTATGCAGCTGAAGACAACATCTTTTTTAAATAGTTCTGTTCAGAAAGCACATTTTAAACATAATAGTTTTAATAACTCATTTATAATAACTTATTTCTTTTGTCTTTGCCACGATGGCAGTACATAATATTTTAATTATTTTGCAAAGATACTATAGTATTCAGCTTAAAGGGCAATTTAAAGGCTTTGTTCAGTACATAATTGAAAAAAAGCATTTTAAGGGGGCTAATAATATTGACCTTAGCAGTTTTGGAATTTAGCAGTTCAGACTTCGAGTTTTTTTTGTTTATTAGAACCAAACTGAAAGAAATTAGACTTTATTCAGAAGGAAAATGTATAAAATATAAGGAAATACTGTGAAAGATGTCTTTGCTTGGTTAAACTGTACTTCAATTAAAATTTCAAAGGAAGGCAAATCATTCGCTAAAACAAAAGACTTGAGGTTCAAAAAAGCGATCAAAAGATGGTTGATGATTATAGTTAGTCTGCATGGTGGATGATGATGATTTTTTTTTTATTGTATTGTAAATAGTTTTGTTCCTGCTTAAAAATGTCAAGGTACTGTTTGTTGTATACATTTCAGTAACTTTACTTTAAGCCATACTTTTTTTTTTTAACAGTGAGGACCACATCGGAAACAAGCACAGGGCTTTATTGTGTTTTTATCCTCAATGGTTTTATTTCAAAATGTATGGGACACTTGTATTTTTGTACAGGTTGTTTAAAATCTGTCAAGTTGCAGTTCAATTCAATTCAGTTTTGTCTTCAACTGTATTAAAACATTTAATAGTTATAGGACATGTAGTGAGAAAACATGCTGAAACCAAGTGTGTATTTTTTCTGCATCATGCATTACCAGTGCACATAGACTATGATTAAAATGTAGTTGCCATCCAGATTTGTTAAATCATAAAAAAGTAACTTGTTCCCACTCAAATGCCAAACTCCCTGACTTTCACTGACTAAAAGCCTCATTTCCATGACAAAAAACAAGATGTTATTGTGCTTTGTTTAGTATTAAAACGGTCTGATCTTGAATTCCATTTTTAATGATTTGAATAGCCATTATAAGGGCAATATTGGATAATTTACCTCATTATCTGAAAAGAAATTATAAAAACAGTCTTTGAAGTTATTTTGGCATGTTTGCCTTAGTTAACAAGTACAGCTTGGTGACTGCCCTCAGAAGAAAGGGAAAGGGTGAGAATTGCTTAAAAATAACCTAAACAATAGGTAAAAGTGTGAAACAATGTGATGAAAACATAATACAGTATAGAAAAATTATAAATGGAGACTAAAATTTTAATCAACAAACAAAAGTTCCTGATATTTAATGACTTATTAATGACTATTTCATGAAAAAACAATTATTCCCCGACTTTCAACGTCTCAAACAGACCCTTTAAAATGTTTTAGTTTTCCAGAAATTCCTTGACCAGTGGAAACTCTGTTGTCCTTTGATTTAATTACATGCCTCACACAAGTCGTCACTCTGAAGTGATGTAAAGCATTAAAAAATTAATCTAAATTTATAAAAAGATCAAAAGTAATGTCTTTCAACATGTTAAAACCAGGTCAAAACAGAAATATTTCTTAGAAAACCCCTTTTTAGGCAAATAGGTGGAAACAGGATATAGGATAGTCCTCTGCCAGCAGCTCGCATATGTCAGAGTGAAAATCCACTAAATATTATTTGACTGTTTATGGGAATATTCTATCAGTATTGATAATACAGTAACATTAAGCACTATATTAAATTTTAGGTCTTACCTGGCCTCGATGTGATCGAACAGATGCTGCCAGCGGTCATTGATGTCCTTGATCTTGTCATTGATTTCCGTTTCTTTAGCCTTATTGCTAGCAGTGATGAGTTGTTCTCCTAGCTGTTTCAGATGTGTTTTATTCTCACTGAAGAGATTGATCTCCTCCATGCAGTCCTGCATATGAGTGAACATTTGAGTGAAAAGGCAGATTCACAACAAGAATGGTAATTATAAACGAACATAATTATTGCAATATTAGCCTCCATAACATTGAACAGTATTATGAGCATTTCTGTTATTACAAATGAGCTGATTGGCTGTTAAAAGGATAGGTCACTCAAAAATTAAAATTATGTCATCATTTACTCACCCTTTAAACCTGTTTGAGTTTTTTTTTATTTTTGTTAGTTGCAAAAAAAGATATTTTGAAAAATGTTGGAAACCTGTAACCATTGACTTGCATTGTACCTGTTTTTCCTTCTATGAAAGTCAAGGATTTTCAGCTTTCTTCAAAATATCTTCCTTTGTGTTCAACAGAATAAAGAAACTCATAAATGTTTGTAACCACTTGAGTGTGAGTAAATTGTGAGTAACTTTTCATTTTTGGGTGAACTAACCCTTTAATGTTTTTAATCCTCTATCACCTGGAAAATGTTGTTTAAAAGAATTATGAATAAGAATAAAGTTAGATTCTTATTATTAGAGATGTGGATTTTTAGAATTACTTTTTTGTTGTGAAGAAGTTTTAAGTGAACAAGAAATGTATTTCTTTATAAAGTAATTCCTAAAGGAACAGGTTGAGAGTTGATTAGTCAGACACTCGTTGTTTGCTTGCTTAAAATATTAGGCCGCACAGGAAAAGTTGGCAAATAAATATGAAAAATCTGCTTTTTAGGTTTAGCAAGATAAGTCAAAATGCTGGATCATAGAGTAAAGTGTATCTGAGGTGTTTTTGGCTGAGTGATTGAACACGTTTATCTCACCTTCTTGAGTTTCTCCACCATCTCCTCGATGCTGAGCTCAGCACTATGCGCCACCTTGTTTTCCATCTGTGTCAGCCATTCACACAGCTCCCGATTCTTCTCATTAAAAATGATCCAGGCATTCAGTCGGTCCGCAATCTCCTGCTTACGCATAGACACCTGCACACGTACACAGATAATACATAAAATACATGTCAGTGCTTTAGACAGGGATTCTTACTTTGATTTTCAAACATTTATTTTCAAATAAATAAACAAATACACAAATGAATAAATAATAATGAAAAAAATACAAATAATATTTTGGTTGAAGAAAATGAAACTGAAAATAAAATAATAATTACATTTATTTATTTATTTATTTATTTATGCGTTCTGACTTATGCATATAATTCTTAGAAACATTCAAATGATTTTATTTACGGATACATTTTTTATACCAATTTAAATATTAATTAAATAATAAAAAAAATAAAAACACTGTATTGATGAATGTTTTTACTGTAAATAAGACATAAATATCAAATAATGTAATGAGAAATGTAATGAAATTTGTCAGTTTTTGTGGATGAATGCTCAATTGTTATGATTATAATTTCAATTATAAATAAAAATATATAATTTTAATATAAATATATAAAATATATTTTTGTATATGTATTTAATCCTTTCTGGTTTGCAGCTCAAATATCTGTTTATCTAAACCCTATACATTAAACTTATTTAAAAAAAATGAATTAGCGTCAATATACCTGAAATACACTTCAATTAAGTGATCAAAACATTTTGAATACTGAAAAGTTAATAATTTAAGCCTTAATCTCATTTACAACAAACTCATGAAGATAAATAATGCACTGTTAATAAACTACTCTAATTCTAAAATACAAAGAAGCAGAATATTCCAGTAGTGTAACATATTGTCTTCAAATGTTATTAAAGAACCAAACCTCCAGTCAAAACATCTCTACAAGCCTTGTCACTACAAAGTTTTCAAATTCAAACTATAACAGCTGCCACATGTGCACTTCATTGTTATTAGACAACACCTCCGTGCACACCCCCGACAGACACACTCCAGCGTGACAGACACACACTGAGGGTGATTTCCAAAACAAAGAGCTACAGACTCCTGCTTCTATTCACTGGTGCGTCTGTGTTCTTCACTCTCCACCATCTGCTCTCTCGCTTCGGCGTCAAAGACCTGCACCCACCCCAAAACTCAAACAAGACCACCAAAAGATGAGCCCAAGAGACTCCAGCCAACCATATTCATTAAAAACAGCAGCAAGACCTTCAGGAAGTAAATCAATACACAAATCAGTCACCAGAATAACATAGTGCACTAAAAAAGCTCACAGGAATGGCTGAATCGATAAGAAATAATGAAAAAAACATCAAACAAAACCAAACATCTGGTTCTGTTGGCTTAGATGGTGTGTTACCCTTGTTTAAAAGTGCTGTCTGTGTGTGATTAGGATTATAGTTTTGGTCAAAAGAAAAAAAAGAGGGTTAAAATTGACAAATATAACTCTATGATGATTAAAAGGTAAAATGTTTAATGTATTAAATCTGGATCTTAGATATAGCTGGAATACCTGTGAAAGTGCTGTCTGTGTGTGATTAGAATTATAGTTTGGGTCAAAAGTAAAAAAAAGGTTAAAATTGACAAATATAACAAAAAAAAAATACACATAATGATTAAAAGGTAAAAGTGTTGTCATTGTTTAAAATAGTTGAAATACCTATGAATAAGCTGTCTCTGTGGGATTGTTTCGGTCAAAAGTAAATAAAGGGTTAAAAATGCCGAATATATCTCTATAATACAATATGATTAAAAGGTAAAATGTTTAAAGTATAAAATCTGGTTCTTAGGTGTAGATAGTGGGTTGCCATGAGTTAAAATTGCTGGAATACCTATGAAAGCGCTGTCTGTGTGTGATTATGTTTATAGTTTGGGTCAAATGTTTAAAAAAAAAAAAGGTTAAAGACGGCAAAATATACCAGCAGATATATACAAGATGTTTAAAGGGTAAAAAGGCTTGGCTTCTGTTTTTAGAAAACGACTATAGTGATAAAGTGATAAATCTGTCATTATATGTGGAAACTGTGTTAAAAAGCAGTGGTTTCTAAGCAGGTCATTCTTGTGCAACTTTAACTAAACACAAATAGTAACTATTTCTCTATGACTGTTTCCTTCAGCTGCTCACACAGAGCAAGATTGATCAGTTAGCTCAATGAAATACAAACAGCTATCAATGTTTACACATGCCTGCTGGCTTAATATTTCCACTGTTTCCTCCTACTGTAAGCCACCATTGCTTATTTTACTTATCAAAATTTATGAAAAACAACTTTTAAAATAAATTTTTCCCATACATTGACTTACTTAAAGGTATAATTCCTCCCATAATGAAAATTTAGTTATTATTTACTCTCTCTCTAGTGCTCCTAATACCTTTCTGAGCTTCTTTCTTCTCTTGAACACTAAACAAGATATTTTGAAGAAAGCAGACAACCTGTAACCATTAACTTCCATAGTAGACCAGAAAGTAATGGTTACAGGTTTCCAACATTCTTCAAAATATCTTCTTTTGTGTTCAACAGAAAAAAAGAAGCTAATAAAGGTTTGAAATAAATAAAGAGTGAGTAAATAATGACAGAATTTTAAATTTTAAACACTTAACACAGCAGGAACTAACCTGACAAACAGTATAAACCCCAGAATTGGATGTTAAGCATGTCTGTGAGTATCTTACTTTGAGGCAGAGCTCTTCCCACTGGCAGTGCAGATGCTCCACTTGCTCCTGCAGAAGGAGGACGTCATCGGTCAGGATGTACTGGGACAGGTCCGTCTTCATGGTGCTGAGCTCGGAGAGACTGACGGCCCAGTCCTCTAAACAATCCTGAACCTCCTGCATAACATAACACACCGCCGTCACACACACGTTCTCAGAAAACACTGACACACGTCCCAGCGATGACTCACACAATCTCTCTCTCACCCTCTGGCCCAACAAGATTAAAGCCCATGGGACGAAGGGGGAGGGGAGAGAAGAGGAGGAGGAGGATCACAGCTGAACAAGCCTATTGCAGGAATGGAAGGGAAATCCAAAGTATTTTGCAAAATAGAAAAAAAGCTGGTATGTGTGATATAGCGGCACATGCTAAATGCTAACTGTCATTTAAGATGCTTTTAAGTTCACTAAATCGTTCAAGTTATTTTTATTACTGTACTTTATTGTGGCTGTATTGCTCTATATGAGTAAAAATCACTAAGCGAGCAATTCTTTATCCCCAGTTCACTCCAGGAAGATTGTTGTGGTAATAAATGAGCCAACAGTACAAGAAGTGAAAAAAGCACATACAGAAAGAAAGTAAAACAATGGAATTTAAAACATTGAAATTGATGTTGTGGTTTCTGGAACTTTATAAAAATATTTCACTATAAGTCTGTTTCTAAATGTATTTTACATCTCTGAACTGATATAGTGTCAATATACCATGCTAATGATATGCTAAAATTGACAGTTTATAACATTGCTTATGTGTTTATATTATACTGATAACCAAAAACAAACCCCCGTGGTTGTAAGGAAGCCATAAAGTAGCATTCAGAAAGTAGATTTTTAACAAATGGGACCAAAATGTCTTCTATGACTTCTGAAATGTTACCATACACTCAAAAAAAATTTTTTTTAACTCGTTCAAACTACTTAATTAAAACTAGCTGAAGCAACACAATTCTTGAGATTTCATTGGGACAACTTAACTATTTTATGTTCAATCCACATAAGTTTGTTACAAGTGTTAAGTTAACAACCAATTTGTGTTGGCACAACATAAATGAATTATGTGGAATTTTTTTTTTTTGTAGTGTAAAATATATGACAGGTATAGTTTAAGTGTTAAGAATTTGACTTAAACACAGTATTTTTTATGTTTATATAAACAATATATATGAATATATATGAATATATATATATATATATATATATATATATATATATATATATATTTTTTT